GCTCGTAGCAGCAATAGTATAGCATAGCACATAGGAACAATAGTATAGCATAGCACATAGTAACAATAGTATAGCATAGCACATAGTAACAATAGTATAGCATAGCACATAGCAACAATAGTATAGCATAGCACATAGTAACAATAGTATAGCATAGCACATAGTAACAATAGTAGCGCATTTATAGTAACACGTGTGGATAACACCCGTGCTGAGATTGTGAGGGGTTCTTTAACGTGGATGATGGCTGCGTTGCCATCCGAAAAGAGCGCACCTTAATTATTGCTACCCCACGTAGATTACCTTTCGGACTCGTTCATTTTCATTCCTTTGGCGAGGACAAGAATGATACATCTATTTAACAATTTTTATCGGCGGTTCGGTCGCCCGCGCACAGGTATACGCGACTCAGCTGTTCCACACAGCTAGCTCCGGCCACGCACAGGTGATGCGGCTCTATCATTCTGCGCAGCTACGGCTGCGGACAGCCACGGCCTTGAGTTCTGCATAATTTACGCAGACAACTGGGAGTGCCCACTGAAAGCACACTATATATACCCCTCGGGCTACACCTGCAACTAAGCGGACATATTTTTTTATGTTATTCTTCTGACAAGAAGAGTCCGGACTGTTTGGGAAACTAATTCGATTGCAGACGCATACTGACTACCAATTCCTGGTCTATTACGTAAAAAAACCATATTTCACTAGCGATAAATTCCTTTTCGAACTTGTTCTTTGCCATCTACGACGCATTTAACCTTGCTTTCCGGCGTCCATAGTGACCTTCTATTTCTATGGCATTTATTTTTACCAATCCCTTTTTTAGACTACTAAGAACTGCACGCAAAGGAAAACTAAGCCCTATACAGGAGGTAGTATAGCTGCTAGTCGCACATGTAGGTCAAACTGACATCACAACATAGAGGGATTATGTTCACTAAAAGCAGACAGAGCATCGGGTTTATTTAACCTGTTAAACATTTCGATTAAGCTTCTTAGAGATGATTCGATTATCTAAAGGCGCGGCTCTTGCGTGTATACTATTGACTCTTTGTGCGTCGACAACTCTGCTATATACTGATAATGTGCTAATAC